AGTTTTAAGTTTGTCTTAGAACATGTATTTGATCTTTAATTTTAAAATTAATAAAGGAACCAAAGGGAAATATATACTATGACTTAAAATCAGATTGCTCTCTTCATCATCCCAATTTTTTATCTCTTTTCACTCTTCATTTATCAAATTAATTGATAACAGTTCTTTTTTGAGAAGGATCCATTCAGGCATTTAAATATTTTCAGCATGTTATTTGGCCAGGCTCCACCTCACTTCTAAAATGCAATAAAAAACTGTGTTAGCTAATTTTTCTTTAATTTGTCTTTTTTTTTAATATTATCAATTTGACTTTTTTATTTGAGAAGTATCTTTTTTGCTTTACTAAAAATAAAATGCTATTATATAGAAATTTGAACTACAGATATATATAATTTATTGAAAACTATATTTGTTATAAATTCAGGTTAAAATATAAAACCTTTTTTGATTATATAAGAAGTTTTTGTTAAATCTAATAAAGATAAGAGTATGGTCTCACCTTTAACATTAAAAAAAAAAATAAATAAATTCAGGTTAAAGTTTTGGAACATATCTATACCAATTTTTCCTATTAGTCAAATTGAAGAGAATCAAAACAACATAAATTACCTTATTGGTGAAAATTTTCTATTGGTCAGATTTAACTCTTATCTTTTTGAGAAATTACATTTTACTTTCTAATGCAATCAGAGAATTTTTGAGTATTTTTCTTAATATTAATGTCGTTATTTAAAATCTAAATGATCACATGATTCTGTGGACCCATGGGACTGCAGAATCATATCACCACGTATTATACAGTATATTTGTCATCAAAATTGTAAATATATTTGCGACTGCTCATTCTCTATAAATCATATAAAAAATCTTTTGCATATCTACAAATAGAGATTAAACATCAAAAAGGATCGAAAAGAGAAATTAAAACTATCAAAAAAAATATATGATAGCACTTCAGAGAACGAGCAGCATTTACTAGAAAGATCCATAACAAAAAATGTTATCAATCTTTTAGAATACCACTCACAATCATTTATTAACGATCTATTTGTTGATAAAATTATTTATTATTTTATTAAACAAGAAAAGAAATTTTAAATTTTTTACAGAGTTCATATAGTTAAAAAAGGCTTTTAAGTCCCTAGACATATGTATAGTAATAGACCCTATTTTAATTCTGTCATCTCTATTTATACAAAATGGGTCAGGTGTAAAGCTTACCAGCTTCTATGTCACCAAATATAATTAAGTTTAAATCCATACTTTAAGTATTTTGTTGCAGATCCTTAATTTTAAATATGATATGTGTTCTGAAACATTAAATTAGTTTGAACTTGATTCAGTTATTCTTATAAATAAAATATTTCTATTAAGTTTGTTAGTTCTGTTCATTATAAAATTGTAATTGTATTGATTAATTTCAATTAAAAAAAATTCAGGCTTGTATTATAATTATTGTTCAATTCTGGTTATACATCTTACTGAATAATTAATGAAAGCAATGAAATTTATTTTTTACTTTATAACTTTTTTATAATATGTTTTATTAATAATACCAGCTAAGGAACAATCATATTATCAAATTCATCAACTTCCTCAGCTGATAATGATAACGCAAGTATTTTATTAATAAATTTTAATTCCAAAAAAACAGGAGGTTATTATTAAAGAATTGACTCATCGGATTCTCAGTTGAATAACTCGAGAGAGAATTGCTATGAAAATTTCACCAACAATCCTGACTAACAAAAAAATCTCACTATTGAATTTATTTTTATATAAATTCAGCACAATCTCTTCATGAAATATAATAATAATTATCATGTGACTTTTTGTAATTACTGTATTGTAATATAAAAACTGGTCTTTTAAATTTATTAAAAACAATAAAAAATTCAGTTTGTAAGAAAGATATAAATAATAAAAAGTTTATTACAACATTCCAATAAAAAAGTTAGAAAAATATTGATCAACCAATAAGGTTAGAATTCTTCGAAAATTTATTCAGTGTGAAACAATTTTCCACAGGACTTCGCCATACTTGGGGTATAAAATGTTTAATATTAACAAAAGATAATTTAATCATAAAATAAAATTGGTTTAAATAATGGTAGCTTAAAGTAAAAAAAATATTGACCAAAGAAAAATCCTGTGACTTATCAAATACTGAGTTCTTGATAGACTAGAAAATAGATAAATATGCTATAAAAATGACTCATTTTGAAAGTTATTTCATAGCAAAATCCAATATGAATACTATTTTTAAAGAAGGTCTTACTACATACAGTGGTGGTGCTTATATAGTTTGCATCACTTGAGAAAATTTTTGAATTCATAGAACTTCTTAATAGCGAGGTATTTTATGGATAGTTTTTTATATTAAATTCATCTATACCTATAGTTATTAATGCCAAAAATTTACCAGCAAAATTTTTGGTGTTAATAACTATAGGCTTAATAAAAAAAAACTATCCATAAAATACCTTGCTATTAAGAAGTTACATGCAAAAATTTTTTGAACAATACAAAAAATATAGAAGCTATTGTATTTTTAGTCACAACTCCGACCACTCAACTACTAGAACACAAATATTAAGTTGCTCTTTAACAAAAAGGCAGATTGTAGAAGATAAGTACATGTCCCTTAAGCTAAACAAATTTAAACAGTATTAAGCCAATTATTTATCCAATTGGATTTTGCGACAAAATAAATACTTTAGTATTCAAATTCTGAAAATGATAATGAAGATATTGTAATATTTTTGAGACTCTTAAAACTTATTTTTCAAAAAGAATATAAAAATTATTATCCAGTTTTTGTTTGCTTTATAAAAATTATTTTTCTTATTAATCACTTTTTCAAAGATCTCATCACCAATAATTACATTTTTTAGATAAATATAAAATAATCAAGTTTAATTGCAAGCATTTCTATTTTTTTCAGGAGAGTGTAATCAAGGTCATTTTTTTTCAAGAGTTCGTTAAATTCCTTGATAAAATGCTGGATATAATTGAACAGATCAACTAAATTTTTCAGTGTAAATCATTTATCTTACTACATAGTGGGTTTCGTAGTTCAATAATCTCATTTAAATATTTTGTAATCTTTAAGTCATCTATATCCAAACTTTTATCATTAATTTGGTCTTTCTTCAAGTAGTAATTAAATGATTTGAGTAATGAAATTTCTTTATTATCTTCAATGGTCGAAGGCTCAGATCTTTTTATATCTTTAATGGTAAGATTGCTTATTGGATGTTTTTCTATGTCTTCTATTCCGTCTTTTTTATTCTCTCTGATATGATAATTAGGTATTAAATAAAATTCCTAAATTTTATTGAAGCAAAAATATAATTGATGTTTGAACTCAGTAAAAAAATGTTGCAAAGATTGTACTAAGGTTTGTTCAAATGAATATTTTTGATTAATTATGTTTTTATTTTTGTTGAAAGATTCTTCGTTGGTAAATAGTTGGTATTTATTTATTTCTCTATTATTGTGTTGAAAGGTTCTATTAAATAATATAGAAAACTCAACAACAAGACCAGAAAAAAACAAAAGTGGAATCTGAACTCACATGTACCGGTAATCACTACGCGTAATTGGGTATAGTGATGGGACCTAAAAATCAAAAATTTAAATTGACACACACCATGATCTATTAAAAAAATTTGATTCTTTATAAATTATTAATGCGAAATTAAATATCACCTATTTTTACTGAATTAACACAAAACAATGCCTAGGGGTGTTATATTGCAATATTATATGTGACAAATATATTTTAGCCTCGACCGAAACTGAAATATTTGAGCTATATAAATTTCTTCAAATTAATATAACAATAGGAAGCTGTATTACAATTTGAATGACGAGTTATCTGACATCATACACTGACCAAGAACATAAATTTATAATTTATAATTTTTTATTGAATATATAGGCGGCTGTCAATAGAAATCAAGCAAATCTACAAAAATCTAATTTTGAGATTATTGCATTTTTTTGTAATGTTATACGAATCAGATCTTCAAAATAAACAACTCCGACTTTAATTCCAAAATGATTCTACCCTAATTCCGAACCTAATTCTAACCATGATTCTGACCCTCATCAAATCATTAAAATTTTTTTTCTAAATGCATTACCCTACAAATTCACGTTTAAACTATGCCCCCAATTTATGTTTAACTTCCTTAAATGCAATTTTTCTTATAGTTCTCTAAATGCATATTGTCAAGAGTTAGTCCAAACAGGATGCATTTTAGGGTGGTTTCTCTGTATTTACTACATTCAACTTTTCATATATATATATTGCACCTTAAATATAAGCAAAAAATTCAAGAATGAATTTTATCTGGCTAGCTAATTTTGCAAGAACAAGCCTTGTTAAACTAAAGGAATCACATTCAGTATTTAAAATCTACTATATGCCACTGCTTACAGTATCGAAAAAAATAGCTGTCTGAAAATCCCTTTTAAAATTGTGTAATTATTTAATAATTATCCCAAGACCAGAGTATTACTCACCATTACTACCAACCTGTTTCTTGAATAAGACTTGGGTATATCTATATTGATTTTAATATATTCTATAGGTACTATCCAATATTAAAAATAGAATAAAAATCTGAATTACTGGGGATAATATCAACTTTCGGTACACTTTTCTCTTGAAATAGTATAATAATTAATGTCTAATTTTTTAAAAAAAGATAGTGCAAATTGTATACTTTAATGCAATAGAGCCTTTTTTTTTCTTCTTTGATTAAAGCTATTTATACTATAAAATAGTGTAAATCGAAAAATGGCTCTATTGCTTTAAAATATACAATTTGCTCTATCTTTTTTTAAAAAATTAGACATTAATTATTATACTAGTCAAGAGAAAAGTGTACCGAAAGTTGATATTATCTGCAGTAAATTTAGATTTTCATAAAAAATTTATTATATGTGACCCTGATTAATATTTGATTTACTAGTATTTTGAACACCCTAATGTCACATATTTTTCTTTTTTTTTGAATAAATTTAAATATATTATTTCAAATAAAAATGAAAAATTTAATGCATGTTGACAAGAGTCAACAGATTGAAAAGACAAAGGAGAATAATCAGGGGTTACATATCATATGCTATAACCCTGCCCTGATAACATGGGTCTGGGATATCAAACCTCAGAAATTTTATGCAAATAAAGTAATATAACTAAAAGCCACTGACCACAATTAGTATTTAAAGAAGTGACAAATGACTTACTTGCGACACTCTCACCTTTCAACACAACCAAGCATTATAACCATCTCTTTTTTTTTAACCAAACATTGTAGTCTCCTAATTCTGCTATTTTCTATTTAATAGCTGGCCTGCTTCAATCAGGCAGGAAACAAACAGCTGATACTACTTCTTACTTCTACTGTTATGATAATATCCTGTGCAATCTCACTTGCTAATTTTCCCAAGAGTATATCATCGTGTTCAAATTACTTAGCTCAAATTACTCACAATGTATTCTGCGAACTTAAAATCTTTTAATTGAATTTTCTGGCACCTTTGGCTTGCTGACATTGTTCCAATTATATGACCAGTCATGCCTATGTTTTTTGAAGCACTTGAATTCTATTTAAAATACCATAACTTTCCTAAAATAAGCTCACTTTTTTGCTACAAGCTTATTATCATAAAATAGAAATGCTTATTTTTGGAAATCTACGATAATGAATATCAAGCTTTTTTGTATTTTAAAACACATCGCTTTTATCTTAATAATGGAATATAAAGATTGAGTGCTAAAGACTATTATTTGAATCTTTTTTCTTAAAAAAATATAATATTGGTATTAAATTTTTTACCATTATACAATTATAATACAACTTTTAAATATAGATCGAATCGATTTTAAGTTACCATGAATTTTCAAAAGTAATGAAGTTATTGGGTATTCTCTTTATTAATATTGCCCTAATTTTTGTTTAATATTCTCGTGTCATATAATATTCAAGCTATAAGCATACTGCTTAACTCTAGTCTACAGTTACAATAGTTATATAGTATACAAAATTTTTTTTTCCTTCTAAACACTTCTCAAAATCTCTAACCATATTTTATAACTTCAAGTTAAATTTTTTTTCACTTGTCTATTCTTGAATTTTTCTCAGCAATATTAAATTGTTAACAGTATTCACATATGCCATTTCTATAGTTTCTTTTTGAACAAAATTTATCAAGCACTATGTATTCGTTGGTAGTTATGTTTTGAGTTAATCTATAAATCTTATGTTCATTTTCTTCTAATTGCATATAATCTTTAAAGAAAAATTGTATATAATGGTGAACACGACACATACGTATCTAACCATGTTACTGACCATCAAAATTAGATAAGAAATTGCTACTATTTATTGGTTTGGACTGTTGTGGTTTTGAACAATAAATATCATGTTTAGAATGATTTTGAACATGTTGTTTTACTTCATCATACAGGTACCACTGTTGTTCTAAGCTCAAGCCAGAAGGAGTTATTTTATTAGGAAATTCATTTTTAGTAGGCAGTTCAGTATTCACATGAAGAATATTTACTGTCGTTTTGTCACCATTAATTGCTGATTTGACTTCAACTTTTCCTAGAGAGTTATAACTTAATATAAAGTGGTGCTGTCAAAGAATTAATGGAATTTGTGAAAAATAAATATTTAAGAATTTTGTCCATTGATAAAATTTAACTTGTATTGAACCATCTGGCCTACAAAGAGTCTGAGCAATATTAAACCCGCCTAATATAGAATTATTAACGACTTGAACAAGATCATCTAGATCATCTACTTCTGAATCACGTAATTTAAGCTTAAAAAGTCCAAAAAATCTATCAGGACTAAATTTGGTATGTCTCACAACCATAAATAAGTAGGTAATTTTTTCATGTAATCTATTTATAATTCGCCAGGCAAGATATTTAACTACTGTATTGTTTTTGTTCTGCCCGCACAATTATCAGCATGGATAGTTACACACTTTTCACCAAGCCCATGTAAGCAAAAATAGTTATGTACTAATGAAATCACTGCGTCAACGCCTTTTCCTACACTTTGATTTTTGGGAATTAAATAATTTACCTATAAACATTTTAATATTAAAATAAGTACTATTTATTTTTCACAAAGGTAGAAATAAAAGGTAAATTATCTATTAGCTGGGGACCGAAAAGCCCCAGATGATTGAAATTTATTAGATTATTCTCTCAAAGCAAGAAATAAGAGATTTATTATTTGTTTAATATAACGTATAACAGGTTTTTCAACTTAAATAACTTCATTTTAAACTGTTTTGTTATACTAACTAAAAAAATTAAAACTTTTACTATTAATTAATAATATAATATCGTTGTGCCAATTAAAAAAATTATAAAAATCGTCTTAAAAACTCATCTATCATGTGATTGGGAATTTTTAAGACCTTTAAATAATACTATTGTGATGGAAAACTTCACACAAATAAAACTATTATGTAAACTAATAAAATTATTTTAAGATCTGGTATAAAAATTTAAGTGCATCAAAGAATTAAATAACAAGCAGACATTACTGATTAGTGATTATACAGTAAGTTGAAAAACCCGTCATGCTATCTTGAAATACCATAAATAGCTGGATAAAAGACTCAGGTCATCCACGTATTGTAATATTTAAAGAGTATATATTTTTCATGCTAACAAACTGTTAGATTTCTCAATTCACACCCAGGTATAGTAAGTAAATAGGTCTTTATCTGGCCATTTATAGTAACTAATTTAATAATAAAAGTTTAATACTTGTCGTAGAAATGCCTCTTCACATATACCAAAAACTCCAACCTTAAATAATAACTTAAAATATATAGCCCACTGTATTTAAAATAAATAAATTAACATAATTGATAAAAAATTTAATTAATTATATAAAATGAACTTTCTTCTTGTTGTGATGAAAAGGGCAAGTGCATACTCTTGGCAAAATTCCACAAAATATAGTTTTCTATATCTAGTGAATTTGGAGTACCAGGTTGTTGTAAATTATTACCAAATTTTCTAATTTCTTCTTTTGAAGTCACAATACATTTTCTACAATAAAATTAGCATTAAATTAATGTAAGTTAACAGATCGAAAAGACAGGAAGCATTGGTCATGGGTTATATTTCATATACCTAATCCTACCCAATCACAAACAATAAATATCAATCGGAGAAAGCAATCAATATCAAATTATAAATTCATACAGTGCAATCAAAAAGCCACTAAATGACTAATATAAAAGGGTCATAGAGAATAGCTAAATTCAACATGCTCTCTCTCATAAAAAACTCAATTCATTTTCTCGACCCAACCTTTCTCACCACACATGGTAGTCTCTTAATTCTGCTATTTTTTATTTAACAGCCAGAGCAGGCGGGAAACCAATGGCTGATGCTGCTTCTTACTTGCTTTACTGTTATGATAATACCTGGTGCAATCTTACTTGCTAATCTTCTGGAAGCATATTATCATTTCAGTTCAAATTACTTAAAATTATTAATTACTTAAAATTACAAATTTAATGTATTCTGTGGATTTAAAGTCATTTAATTGAATTTATTTCCGGCACCTTTAGCTATTCAGAATTCTTCTAATCACATGACCAAGCACATCCATGCTTTTCGTAATTGTTATACACTGGGTGGCATGAGTATAAGCGAAAATGAAATTTCCGCTTGTAAATAGAACCCGGTATATAACCGATTTATACTCTTGATATAGTAACTAGAGTATATAAGAAATATTTATAATTACCGATAATGCTCTCATTCCAAACTAGCCCAAGAATAGTGATTAGACCATTTATTTATTTTATTTAATGTTTTACATAGAGTCCATCGCTTAGCACTAAATCTCATTTCCTTATATTGCATACAAAGATCACTATGTGTAGTTAAAAACTTAATTCCGGGAAGATAATATTTTCAGATTCGGCTAAAGCTTGATTGACTAACTACATAATTATTTTTATCATTAATATCGATTGTATCATTATAGAGACAAAACAATGAGTAATAACTTTCACACGTTGGTAAATATATAATAGGGCGTGTTTCTTCATGAAAGTGATGACCTGTTTTGGTTACAATTTATTAATATAATTGTTTAGTATATTAGGCTATACAAAGTTAATTATTTTGATTCTTCTAAAATTCTAAAGTGGCAACCCGGCTTTTATTTCAAAAAATTATATATATAAAAAACATTTTTTATAAACATCTTAAAAAATTTACTAGGTAATAAATATAGTCAAAAATTTTTCTTAAAGTTTTGCAGAATTTGATCTGGCCACGTTATAAAATCAATTTATTAAGTTTGTATAGCTTTAATTTTAAATTTTTTTTAAACATTACCAGGTGAAGGAAGACTATATTGCATAGCAAAGTTTTGAATAAATGTTAGTATATGCAATACTATTTCAAACTTTATAGCATGATTACTAACATGTCTTTTAAGACCATAAACAATTGGACTTATATTATTTTTTGAATAATGTGTGCGAATTGCTTCTTATTTAGATTTTCCAATTGCATAGATAGTAAGCCAAGCTTTTTGGCAAACTGAAACCCCTTAAAAATTATAATTACTTGTCATATACTATTTAATTTCTCCACGGCTAGTAGCTAGATGTATGCTAGCCTCAAGAATTCCTAAAAAAAACATATTTTTTTCTGCTGATGACATTAATCTAATCTTACAAAATCTTTTAAGGGCTTCATTGTGATCAATATAGGTATTAAAACAGTTTTTAGAACAACAAGTAGTTTGTTGAATTTTGATTAGGAATGCTTGGTTGTCTTGTTTAGACATATTAAAATTTTTTTTTTCATCATATTCATTAAAGTTTTAAATTATATTGGTTTGATATATTTGTTAAAATAATGCAATTTCTTGCTGTGTAAAGCAATCTGACTCAAAACTATCGACATACTCTACTGTGTTATTATTGCTCACTTGATTTTTAATAAAAAATTCTTTTTCATTTACTAATTCATCACTATCCTCAGTCATATTATAATGTTCATACAATTTATTAAACTCGTTATTTAAAGTAGTTAATTCAGAATGTGTTTCAATAAAAATACTATCAAAAAGAATATTTTTATTTATATTTTCATTTATAGTTAATAAATACAGAAATGGAGTACAACGAAAAACACGACTTGATAGCAAGTGAATTATTGTATACAGTTTTTTTATTTCATTATTTCTATATTTGTACATTATGCATAAGTCTAATAATACTCTAATATGTGCAAGTTATGCCTTGTTTTTACCTATTTTATCTATAGTTTTACCTGTACCATCTTTTTCAGATTCACCTCATTTTACCAACACCTATTTAACTGACATCACGCAGGTGACAATATAATATTAATATATATATACAACTAGTAAAATGCTAACTCTAACCCTATATAATGTCAGTTAAATAGATTGTAGATAAAATGGGTATCGAAAAAAATGCGATCCACTATCTATTTCGAGTTATCAATTTATGCATTTGCATAAATTTTTCTATTTCGTACTAGACCTGATTCTTATTTCTTGTTCATGCTGTGAATCCTTATCGTACAACAATCCACAAACCAAATTTAAGAGTTTTCTAGAGCTATACAACAATAATCTTGGATTAAAAAAAGGAAAAGCTTAGCTCTAACTTTGAATATTGATGATTATAAATTTTGGATCATAAGAAAAAAAAGTATTAAAGATACACTTTCAAGAATACTGCACTGATTTCTTCAAATCTTTAATAGTAATTTTAGATAAAATATATATATATATATTAGTGCTTGCACTTTGCAAGAGCACTTTGCTAACTTCCTTAAATCTTGAACGATATATATAGAGGTTAGAGAATAAAAAAGCATCATTAGATGCATTTCATAAGAATGCCATGCTATATTTGAATCTTGGATGAGAAGAAAGAAATAATAGTAGCCTTGTAAAAATAATGTTTAACAAACCAAAAAATCTATGAGTTAGAGTGAAGGAGTTAATTGAGAGAGAATGATGCAAATGATGTAATTGAATGCAATCTAAAAGGGCAAAGAGAACTCACGCTAATTAATAAACATAAATAAAGGTGAAAATCAATTCACATGCCTTCTAACACATAATACGAAGAAACCCACCTTTGGTATAGCTAGTATTGTGAACAATACTAAGTTGGACTTACATTATGCAATTACTGTTTAACCCCATGACAAGGAAAAAATCTAGATAAGACGAAAGTCCTGCTCATTGATTTGTATTGTGAAAATATCTAGCTTGTGGAAAGTTGTTGTGACAATCATTGTTGGCTGACATTGAAGATCAAAAGAAAGGACATTGTTAATGACTATAAACCAAGGGAAAGAACATATAAATGGAAAAAAGAATGTCCTAAAATTTGAAAAAAGAAAATATAAAATGCAGAATGATTAATGTCGTTGGATGAAGAAGCGAATAGGTGCGAAGTTGAGATCGTGAAAGGTTTAAAAATGATGTAAGTGTTTGTGTTATATACATCGACATCTATGGTATTTGACTTAATGTAGTCCATCGTAAATACAACCTGTGATATAACAAAGGAAAAAGATCAGAAACCGCATTGGAAAAAGGTTCATTATAAGAAAAAAAAAAGAAAATATGGATCTGAGTAGTGAAGTTTGAGATGTATGATTTCCTTAGGGAAACAATTTGAGGGCAAAGGAAAAGTATGAATGGCCAAGGTAATCTGAAAATGAATTAAAGAACAAAAATTGAATACAAATCTGAAGGTCCCAACAAAAAAAGCATCAGAAATAAAGAAAAAAAAGGAATCAAAATTGAAAGGAGATTTGTGTAACTGCTAATTAATTAATAAAAATAGCCGTCAATAGAAATCTATTAGAGAAATTTGCTTGATTTCTATTTGACAGCACTAGTTAGTCAATGATCAACACAATCGACATAATCCAGTCACCGAGCCAAAATCAATCTATCGAGATAATACAAATGAACAAAAATTATTTATTATATTTATTTAAAATTTTATTACATTTATTAGCTGTATTTTATAAGTAAAAAATGTTTATTATAACTTTTTCTACTAATAAATAATATAACTCATTTTTGCAAAAAATATCAATTTGTTTGATTTCTATTGACGGCAGCCCAATATTGTAGAATTTTAATTAATCCAATTTTTTAAATATAAAGAAAGAGCTTAATTTTTAAGAAAATATGGTTTGCTGAAAATGAAAAGTGAAAGAAAATTTCAGCATTATTTTTAATGATTATGCAATAAATAATATTAAGTTGGGAAAAAGGTCTAATCTATGATGGATTTATTAGGAGAATTTGAACCATAAAGGCCACTAATTATCAGGTCAATTTGAATTCTAGATACGCTATATATATTTCGTTGGGCTAATCTATTAAAAGATGGAAGAGGAACGGGTTCCATAGTATTAAATTCTGGTGGGAAATATTTGTTTGCACTATGACTAATTGAAGAATTATATGCATTAATTTGATTAATTCTAGAATAAATATTATTTGGAATATTATTTCTAAGCATGTCTAAAGCATTAATGATACACAAAAGAACTTGTCATTATATGAGAATTCAAATAATGTTAGATAAAATTATATTGTTATAATTTATAAAAGCCTATGCAACTAACACCTACCTGCTCAATTCTCTCTACTGATTTTTTTATCTGTTCAATTCTTTTCACTGATATTTTTACCAGTTCTACCTGTTCCACATTTTGTTTTTTCAATTCATCCAGTTTATTTAAAACCATTCTAGGTGTAATGTTTTGTTTATTTAGTTCATCACAAGCTTCTTTTTTAATTGCATCAAAAGTATTGTCATTCCAACCAAATCCAAGAGTGATGCTATAGGCTTTGATGTTATTATAATACTAGGTTAAAGATTTAGCAGTTGTGGTGCCCGTTTAAACTTATGAGTAAAGTATCCTTTTAAATAAACATCTTTAGGAGAGAATGGTAATTTTCCAGGGAATAATTTTTTTAAAAATTGATATAATTTAAAACTCCATTTCTTCCTTTCAATACTTCTGGATCTTGTATTTTAGAAACATATCCTATTTTGAACGAAAGGAGCAAAGGTTAAGAAAGGCCAATTGTTACATTATTTGTTAGTTTGTAGGTTTAGAATATAATTGTAAATTTATGTAAAGACATGAACGACAAAAAAAATGCCATTTAAATTCAGTGAATTATTTGGTGTCACAGTTGTACTCATATGATTACAAAGTTTATTTTGTGATCATCACGAGTATATTAGCAAATTTGGATATCGATTCTGGAATATTCTATAGAGAATCCTTAAGCACTTAAAATCATACTTTTTTATGATAGTTAGGTACAACTACCAGCTGTTCTCCTGAAAAATAGAGAGCTTGTACTTTCATAATTAGTTGGTAATCAATTATAATCAACTTATTTTAGCAAAATAAATGAGAACCAAAAAAAAAGTTACAATTTTGTTATTTTTTATATTCGTAAATCATAGGTTTATTTTCTATATTTAAATTCAGAAATATATACTAATCATTACAACGTTTAAATTTAATACTTTAGTCCAAGAAAATTATCTTTATGCTTCTAAGTAAACTTGTAGAGATGATCTAAAAGAGTTAGAATCTCAATTTTCAAGTCATCTGGTGAGAACTCATGGAATTATAGTTGATTTTCTTTGCGAAAATGTTGTCAAAAACTATTTTTTAAGCATAAGTATATTTGTTATATCGTTTTTTGTATATTAGCTAAAGGAAACTGCCTTTGCTTCTAAATAAACTTGTAAAGAGGATTGTAAAAGGTTAGAAACTTAATTTTCAGGTCATTTAGTCAAGAACTCTTAGAGGTATGTTTATTTTTCTTTGCAAAAATGTTTGTCAAAATTTTTTGTCTAAATGTAAGTATATTTGTTACGTCATTTGATATATTAGTCAAAGGAAACTGCCTTTGTACTTCTAAGTAAACTTGTAGAGGCAAAAACGTTTATTGAAAATTTTTTTCTAAGCGTAAGTATATTCGTTACGTCATTTTTGGTTTGTTAGTCAAAGGAAACTACCTTTTGCTTCTAAGTAAACTTGTAGAGAAGATTGACAAGGGTTAGAATCTCAATTTTTAGATTATTTGGTCAAGAATGTACGGAGCTATGATCGATTTTCTTTGTGAAAACATTTGTCGAAAATTTTTTTCTAAGCATAAGTATATTATGGTATAGAGATTGTCAAAAAATTTTTTTTAAATATAAGTATATTCATTATGTTACTTTGGATATGTTAGTCAAAGGAATTTGCCTTTGTGCTTCTAAGTAAACTTGTAAAGGGTATCGAGAAGGGTTAGAATCTCAATTTTAGATTATTTGGTTAAGAACTCACAGAGTTATGGTTAATTTTCCTTGTGCAAAATTTTTTTCCAAATGTAATACGTTGTTTTGGATATAATAGTCAAAGTAAATAACCTTTGTACTTCTAAGTAAACTTGTATATAAAATCGAGAAGAATTAGAATCTTGATTTTATATTAGAACTTTAGCAAAAAAATTAGATTGATCAGAATTATCTGATTGATGATTCGTGACCCAAATTTGGGGGATAGGTACATCAAGATATTGTTATTTTTTTTACTATATCAGATCAACAAACCAAATCCTACCTGGGATGCTATACTATTCAAAATAATGAATGAAAAAGAGTAAAAATAATGCTTACAATGCCGAAACCAAATTAAATTGTCATGTTCAAAGAATAATCAAGAATAATCAAGAACAATCTGACATGACAATTATAAAATTTTATCTTGCAAAAAAATTTATCTAAAGTTCAAATATATTTAGAATAATAGTAATAATGAAATAAATATAACAATTTATTTTAACATCATGAATATTTTTTGATAATTTGAATAAATTGCCATCTATTATAACCTTTGAATTATTGGCTTAGTATTATAAACGCTTTTTATAGTATTAAATGAAGCACATCTTTTGAAATTATTAACTTATTAGTCCAATATAGAAATAAAAAAAAACAAAATGCTCAGGAAAAAATCAATTTGCCTACAAATATAACCAAAATAAAATGTATAAACAATAAAATTTTAAGCGATTCATGTTATTCATAAAAAATTCTTTTGAAAAACTTAGAGACAATATTTATTGTTTGATAACAATTCATAATATGCTAAAGACATTTTCTGGTTAGTGATCGAAATTGAATTGTTCATAATCAAATCTGAATCATGTTATTGGTTATGTTGTAGACGATAACTGATTTATAAAGTAAAAAAAAAAATTTTTAGATCAATCGTTACAACTTAATATAATTTATAAATTTTATTATTTGAATTGAGTTTTATAAAAGTTTAATCTTAAAATTTGTACAAATATTGTCACTTTATTACCGTTAGTGCTAAATTATCAAAAAATTCCATTTGAATTTTAGTTTAAAATATTTTATCACTACTGCTAAAATCAACAATGTCACAAATCATTCTAAACTTTTATAATTTGAAAACACTAGGCCGCGTATAGTGTTAAATTATTAGGAAATTTAAATTCTCTAATTTTTGATCTTAATTCACTTAATTTGCTAACATTTAATTACTGTTAGTGTTAAAATTTTTAAATCCACTATCGCGCTATTACCTAAAACCATAACATACATGAGCTATTAGGGTGGGACATCAACTAAGTAATCAAAACTATGTTAGCGACATTGATCAATTTACTAAGATCAAATTTTATTAGCGAAATTGATAGTAGTAAATTGAATATTATTTTTATATTGTTCAATTTAGAGCTCCAATCCATTATCCATTTATCCATTTATCCATGGATATCCGGATATCAACTGGATAAATGGATAAAATGGATATATGGATGGATATCCGGATATCCGATAAATTATCCGGATTAATGCAAGGAGTGCATATTAATTTCTAACGGTTAAGATCTAACGGTTAAGATCTAACGGTTGATCTAACGGCTGATCTAACGGTTTATGTAAAAGGTATTACCTAATAAACGGTTAAGATCTAACGGTTGATCTAGCGGCTGATCTAACGGCTGATGTAAAAGGTATTACAATATAACAGTTAAGATCTAACAGGTGTATTTCATAAGTAGCTGCGCGGCATTGTCGCGCTAAACCAGGAACGGACGACAACTCCAATACAAAATAGTTATATAAGTTATAGATTTGAATTCAGATAAATAGATATTGAGTAAAAACTAAATACGCCATAATTATATTGATATGAGACACTATAATTTAAACAAACAAAAAAACTTTATAAGATTTTTAGATGCATATAATATAGTATAAAGCGTAAAATATATCTTTAAAAACATATTATAACAATTCACTACAATTTTCCAATGCTAACCTTAATAATACATAATGCCAGAACGGATATTAAAAATATGGGTATTTCATACCCTATGCCATACGGATCCGTTCATAATAATCTGCATAATTTAAAAACGATCTTGGCAGATGATAATTATATAGACTAACACGATGAATATCGGGTGCATACCGGAAGACAAGTTTCCTGATATGTACCCGATAGTCTGCCATAGATCCACCAAATACCTGCGAAACAACAGCATATTGGCAGCATATTGGTAAGATATTGAGAGATAGATCGATATCAGTAACATAACAGCACAATATTGGGATACCCAAATATCTTACTCTTGGCACTCTGGGTCTAAAAGTAAGATATCGGGATATCCCAGTAATTTGCTGTTATGCTACTGATATCGATCTATCTCTCGATATCTTACCAATATGTTGCCAATATGCTGATGTTCAGCAGGTATTTGGTGGATCTATGGCAGACTATCGGGTACATATCAGGAATCTTGTCTTCCGGTATGCACCCGATATTTATTGGTTCAACTTGCGTAATGTGGATAAGAAGTTAAATGAGATATAAACAACTCATATTAAAAATTAGACCAATGAATAATCACTAAACTCAGACTAAGAGTGCTCAACGTGATTAGATAGCTATCGATAAGTACTACGATTAATTGAAGCGATCCCTACGTAGTATTTGAAGAGCCCTTGTACTTAGTTAAAGGGATGCAATTAGACCAAGAATTATATAATGCGACGAGAAGTGGAAGTGCGAAGCGAAGATATGAATCGAACGACTCGGAACATCATAGTGGCGGGGCATAATCGGGATCGGGTACAATAGGTACCGTGATCGCCGAATGCATGAATATGACGATTAATTAGGGGAAGTTAAAAATTAATAATAAAAAAATAGTTAAAGTGTAATACAGAATATGTAATTGTTTGAATCTCATAAAAAGCAAAATGTAAAATAAAGAAATTCGAGAGTCTTTTGACTGGTGGCTTCAAACTTTTTTTTTATCACGATAATACCTACTTGCCGGCTAAATTACTTTCCACCAATTAAAAATTGAGTTCCGACCTATAATTAGAGAACTTTAAACCATATGAATAAAAATTGAAATGAGAAATCAATTAATACGTCCAATTGATTAAATAAGAAAATGCTTAATTGAAATATCATGTGAAACCTGATATTATATGATAAAGAATTTTTTAGACCAATTTCAGCCTATTAAAGATTTTTAGAGCTGTTAAAGCATGGCTTCTTTAAATACTATATTGCTTTAAAATCATTATCGTTATTACTATGCTCTAACCATGACACAATTCGTGGTTTCAATAATTATGGTTTGATCTGGAGCTATGACTTTAATGCGCATTGATCGAAAAAGCAAAGGCATGCCAATTCGGGTTTGGCTTGAGGTGAAGCTCCATTGAAGAACGATAGTAAGGCGCCTCTATGGTGGGAACTAAAGTCATAGTCATGTAAATGAATATGAATTACTTATTGTTAGTCATAGATCCCGATACTCTAAATAGTCATATTGCTTATAGATTCTAATCGTAGCCTCAAAGTTCTCTGTAATGTATAAATAAGCATCGATTTCATGAATCTGAAAACAAGTGAAGTGTTATAATAATAAAGACCATCTAATAATAAACTTTGGGATCCTTGGTTCTCAGACCAAATCTTCCACGACTTCTTTGTCTTAGGTCCAATTCAAGTTACCTAATATAATATCTACTTATTGTCAACCACTTGAGTTCAGACGGCCTATTAAAACATAGAGCTCTCCAAGTAAACAGTAACACTGTCGTACTTGAAGTTAGCACTTGCTTGATTACATTTTGAAACGTCGAAGTTGAGTCTGGACGAAAAACAAAAAAAAAATAACTTCACGAATTATCGATCGAAATCATATGATTTTGGTACCATTCGATTCGTCTCATCAAGACGAATCGAATGGTACCAAAATTATGTGATTCTGATCAGATGATTCGGTTAATCCGTTCGGATATCCGAATTAAAAAAAACGGATATCCGGATATAGCTTATCGGATAAATGGATGACGGATTGATTCGGATTGGAGCTCTAGTTCAATTATCAAAAATATGCAAATTTCTAAAAGATTCAGACAAAAATTGCACTTATTTTTCGAGTTTTTTTTGAATGAGGAGCATCCAATAGAACTATCTCAAAGGTTCTATGGTGAATTTTTTGTGAAAGCCCTAAGTAAGTTTTAACTTATGATTTCAAGATAATTTTTTTTACTCTAAATCAATAAAATTTAAGATATTCTATAAAACGAATGCTCAAACTTATATGTTGATAGAATATTATCGAGCATAGTTTTATTCTCTAGCATTTTATAAGCAATTTGTAAAAGTTTCAAGGTAATTTGACAAGAAGTTGAATCGTTTTGAAATTATATTAGTAATCAAGATTATTGTGATCGATAAAATTAAGGAATTTAGATGTAATGTTACATAAAAAATTAATTGTCATTTGTGTAATATAAAAAATCTGTGATATGTAAAATTATATAGTTTGCTAACATAGTTTTGATTACTTAGTCATGTCTCACCCTAATGAGCTATGTTACACATAAATATTTAAATTTATCTTGCATCAACCCATTTGTATATACACTTTTTTGTATTATCTATTACTGAACAAATTATAACAATAATATTGATTTACCATAGATCATACGTTTTTTGGCATATAAATTAGTCACAAACTCGAAGACAAAATTATACAAAATTATACGATTATTTTAATTTTAATACTCTGTATTGTTACACACGAATAAACTGCATTTATCCACTCACGTACTTTCTGAAGTTATATAAAGATCGTATAGTCTCTAAAAACTTAATGCATTCATTTATTATTAATAATGACTCTATATAACAGAAAGCCTAGGAGACCTTTAAATTCCTTTATTATATACAGAATTGTCATTCAAAATTACCTCAAAGCTAATAATTTCTCATATTCTTGTCTCATTGTTTCCAAGTTGGCAAGCAAGTTGTGAAAAAATGAATATGAAAATAATAAAAATGTATATAAACGATTGGCTAAAAGAAGGTGGCCTCATGAAAAAACCTTAGGCAAATTAACAGTCACAGAAGAGCGAAAGAAAGTCCTATTTTTCCCAGAACCACAAATGATTTTTCTTCAACTAACACCCAATCAATTTGGTTCGATCTATTCCCACTATAACATTTGATCATTTGTTATAATTACTTTTAAATAATTTATAATGATATCAATGTTTTTTATAATTATCAAATTTATACTTTATCTACAGTTAATATATATAGTCAGATCTCAATATAATCACCAGGCTGGGAACAAAATTTGTGATTATAAAAAATTGTGACTATATAAAGGTCAAAATTTATATGTTTTATAATAACTAGATCAAAAAAATAGTGTGATTATAACAAGGCTGTGACTATATTGAGAGTGACTATAATAAGATCTGACTATATTTTTCAAATAATAATAAACATACAAAGTTTCTGTACTATGCAATATATAATGATTCTTAATTAAAAATTTTCTCTTCACAAAATTAAACAGATAAAGTCTTAAAAAACAATACATGTTTGTAAAAATATTTAAAAAGTTATTAAATTAATATATTAATTAATGAATTTTAAGGATTTGTAGAATTTGAGTGTAGAATACTTGAATTTATTATAGAAATCTGCTTTAGTATATCAAAAATTTGTTCAAAAATTTGTTTTTGTATATCAAAAACTTGATTTTGAATATCAAAAAGTTGGGTTTCTAATTTTGATATATTACAGCTTTGCAAACTAATACTAGATTGAGAATGGGGCTATCAAATATAAGAATCAGTATCAATTAGAAGATAAACAGTATTTAAATCATTAATGCTAGGCAGGAGAAAAGTATGAGCACTAGAGGAACTTGAATCATATAATTTACAAGAAATGCTGTTATTCGATAAAATATTTCGTACATCAATATAAAGTAAAAGAAAAGGATAAGTATGAAAGGAATTCAGATTATAAGGAATATTATTTGTTAAAATATTTTGATTGATATTTGTATTTGGTTGGGAATATACCTCTTGGATAACAGAGTCAATTCCAGTTGGAAAAGGAAAGGTGTCTGTTGTATTAATGTCAAGAGAATTTGGGTTATACGAATTAAAAGGCAGGGCTATGTTGGTGTAAATTTTATTAAAAAATGATAAAAAAAATACATCGATTAATATGTTTAAATTATAGATAATACCTGTTTTATTCCAAATTTCTTTTGTAACAGTATTCAAATCATGATAATTCTAACCAAATCCAAGTGCTTTATTGTGAGCCTTAATGTTAATTATATACAGTTTCAAGGTTTGAGCTGTCATCTTGCACTCTTCAACTTTATATGTAAGGTATTCCTTTAAGTAATTTTTTTTAACAGGGAAAGCAGATTCTTCGAGATGTATACTTTTTATGAAATAAGTATAATTTAAAACACCATTTCTTTTTTCCATTATTTTCTAATTTTTTTTCTTACAAAGTATTTTATTTAAAATGATCTGGTTGATATTATCATTTTTCAATAACTTATTTAATTTATAGTTAAAAAATTTGTAAAATTACATATTAATACAGGTAATATAATCAACGTCTAAATTCAGAAAGTTACACAATTTGATGTTATACAGATCAATTTTTTTTATTTTGTAAATACAGTCTAGGATTATACGCGATATGGAAATGATCTGCAAATATATTAGAAAGGTATTCTAAACCCGATTTTAATTGAAAAAACAAAAGCATTTTTATTATCTGAAAATAACTATTAGTTTTAAAAAATTCTTTAAATATTTTTTACAAAAAGTATCCTAAGGCTATGTAGTTTAGAGATCTCCAAGACTTTATAAGGCGGTTTTGCACTAAATAACAAAAGTGTAACAACGTACAGTCTAGGAATTTTCATATTTGGTAATATATATGACAAATTAATTTGTGTAATAATTCTTATTCTAGAATTATTTAAGATCATCGATTATCAAATTTTTTGAATTTTACTCTAATTTGCCAAATTTATATTCTAATTTTGCCCAAATTTATATTTGAATTCTGCCCAAATTAAACTATAAATTTATATTCAAATTTCCTAAATTAAACTCTAATTCTGACTCTAATTTTACATTCAAATTCTGCCCAAATTGAACCCTAATTCAGCCAAAATTTATAATTCTAACAGAATTAGAGATAAAGTTTGGCAGAATTAGAGTTTAATTTGAGCAGAATTCAAATGTAAAATTAGAGTCAAAATTGGGGTTTAATTTAGGAAATTCGAATATAAATTTATAGTTTAATTTGGGCAAAATTCAAATATAAATTTGGGCAGAATTAGAATATAAATTTGGCAGAATTAGAGTATTAATCTGGGTAGAATTCAAATATAGATTTAGGCAGAATTAATAAAATTTGAGCGAAATTAAGATTAGCTCGTAACTCTGGTAAATATAATGTCAGTAGAATTAATTCATAACTCTGGTACATAAATTTGGTAGAATCTAACAGATAATTAAATCATAACTCTGGTACCTTAAGCATAATTTTGGTAGCAGCTTTGGTAAACATAATGTTGGTAGAATTAAATCGTAACTTTGTTAAACAAACATATCTTGAAGAACTCTGGAAGGCATAATTTTGGTAGAATTGATTCATAACTCTGGTAAACATAATTTTAGTAAATATCAGATATAAATAACTCTGGTAAATATAATATTAGTAGAATTAGCTCGTAACTCTAGTAGGACGTTATAAAAATTGTAACTAGTACCTTAAGTATAATTTTGGTAGAATTCATATCTTGTAGAATTAATTCGTAACTCTGTCAGATATAATTAACTGTTAACATTTAACTCGTAAATATAATTTTGGTAGAGTTAATTCAAAACTCTGGTAAACATAATAAAGTAGAATTAGCTCGTAACTCTGGTAAACATAATTGTTGGTAGAATTAGCTCGTAACTTTGGTAAACATAAATTTAGTAGATTCGTTATAATTAAATCGTAACTCTGGTACCTTAAGCATAATTTTTGGTAGAATTAATTCGCAGCTTTGGTAAATATAATGTTGGTAGAATTAAATCGTAATTTTGTTAAACAAAACATATTTTGGTAGAATTAATTCATAACACTGAAAGGCATAATTTTAGTAGAATTAATTTGTAACTCTGGTAAACATAATTCGTAATCTGGTAAACATAATGTTGGTTGAATTAATCATACACTAGACAAGGGATGTGATCTATTAGTATCCAATGGCATATAGGAGGACTTTGATAATGTAGGTGAAATTAATTAGTAATTCTGGTGACCATAAATTTGGCAGAATTTAATTAATTAACGTTTAACCCATAAATATAATTTTGGTAGAGTTAACTCAAAACTCTAGTAAACATAAATGTGGTAGGATTAGCTCGTAACTTTGGTAAATATAATGTTGGTAGAATTAGTTCGTAACTCTGGTAAACATAAATTTGGTGGTAGAATTTAACAGATAATTAAATCGTAATTCTGGTATCTTAAGTATAGTTTAGGTAGAATTAATCTGCAGCTTTGGTAAACATAATATTGGTAGAATTAAATCGTAACTTTGTTAAACAAAACATCTTGTAGAATTAATTTGTAACTTTGAAGGCATAATTTTGGTAGAATTGATTCATAACTCTGGTAAACATAATTTTGGTAAATATCAGATATAAATCTAAATATAATATAGATGAATTAATTAGTAATTCTGATAACCGTAAATTTGGTAGAATTTAATTAACTGTTAACGTTTAACTTGTAAATATAATTTAAATGTAGTAGAATTAGCTCGTAACTCTGGTAAATATAATATTAGTAGAATTAGCTTGTAACTCTGGTAAACATAAATTTGGTAGAATCTAACAGATAACTCTGGTACCTTAAGCATAATTTTGGTAGAATTAATTTGCAGCTTTGGTAAACATAATGTTGGTAGAATTAAATCGTAACTTCGTTAAACAAAATATCATGTAGAATTAACTCTGGATGGTATAGTTTTGGTAGAATTGATTCATAACTCTGGTAAATATAATTTTGGTAAAATATCAGATACAATTAATTTGTAACCTGGTAAACATAATATTGATGGATAGTAATTCTGGTAACCGTAAATTTGGTAGAATTTAATTAACTTTTAATATTTAACTCATAAATACAATTTTGGTAGAGTTAACTCAAAACTCTAGTAAACATAACTCTGGTAAACATAACTCTGGTAAACATAACTCTGATAAACATAACTGGTAAACATAACATAACTCTAGTAAACATAACTCTGGTAAATATAACTGGTAAACATAACTTGAGTAAACATAACTCTGGTAAACATAACTCTGGTAAACATAGCTCTGGTAAACATAACTCTGGTAAACATAACTGGTAAACATAACTTGAGTAAACATAACTCTGGTAGACATAACTCTGGTAAACATAACTCTGGTAAATATAACTCTGGTAAATATAACTTTGTTAAACAAAACATATCATGTAGAATTAATTCATAACTCTGAAAGGCATAATTTTGGTAGAATTGATTCGTAACTCTGGTAAACATAATTTTGGTAAATATCAGTTAGTAATTCTGGTAATCATAAATTTGGTAGAATTAATTCGTAACTCTGAAAGGCATAATTTTGGTAGAATTGATTTGTAACTTTGGTAAACATAATTTTGGTAAATATCAGATATAATTAATTCATAATTCTGTAATTAACTGTGTATAAAATTATCGAGATGCTTAATTTTGATTCAATAATTTCAATGTTTCTGTTATCTTTAAG